CCAGACTAGACGCTGGTTCCCTCGCGGTGCCAGGTGCCCGTCCTCTCGCCGGGCGTCGGCGGGCGGCGGGCGCCTCACCTGCCGTACTTCTGCAGCCACCGCCCGGGGGGCTCCGGGCTCGGGGCCCTGGGGCGCGGGCGGCGGGCGCCTCACCTGGCACGTAGATCTCGCCGCGCTCCTCGTCCGGGAGCTCGCTCCAGTTCCTCTTGCACGTGGAGACGCACGGCTTCTTCACTAGAAACGCGCGGGGCATTTTCGAACCTTCCTCGGCCCGCACCGTCCGCTTCGCGACCAGAGCCCGCGGCCGTCCCGCCGCCCCGGCTGACGGGCGGCGAGAGGGGTGCAGGAAGGACCTCGCCGCTGCGCCCCGCGTTCCGCGGAGAGACGGTGCCCGGGGCGCCGCGCGCGGTAGCGACTCCGCCGCGCTGTCGCCTCCTCCCTGCCAGCCGGCCGCTGGCCACCAGGTGCACCGGGCGGGGGAAGCGTCAGGGAAGCGTCTCCGGCTCGACTGGCGTCCCGCGGCCGCTCGGGAAGTCTTAAAGTGCGAGCCGGACGGACGGGTTCACGCTTTATTGGCTCGCGGCGCTGAGTGTTGGTGGCTGGGCGGGGTGGGGGTGATCCGAGCTAATTAGCTTGGAGTGGCCCGGGAGGCCACGGCGCATGCGTTGGGAAATAACGGTGACTACCCACCTATTTGTTACCTGTCGAACCGGTTTCCATTCCGCTGCCGGTGAGGTGGCCTCGCGGCCTGGGCGGGGTGGCCGGGTGGGGGCGGGGGCGGGCCCAGGGCACCCAGCGCCCGGGCCGCCCTGCCGGTCGGGGCGCCGCCCGGCGCGGGACCTCCCAGCCGGAGTGCTAGCGTTGGCAAACGGGAGTTTCGGAGGAGCGGAGGGAGTGGAGGGAGGGGGCAACGTTATTTGCACCGGCGCGCACACGCTCGGCGGGTGATGAAATGAAACTCACTCAACCGGGTCCGGCCCGGCCCGGCCGGCGCGCCCCGGGCGCCTGGGGAGGCGCGAAGCCGTCGGGCGAGAACGCGCGGCCCGACCCACACTTGTTGAACCGGGCCTAGGCCGGGGCGGCCCGGGGCCCAGAGGCCTGGCTGAGCAATGGGGCTCAAGCCTGAGGTACTTGCTAGGCGCCTGCTGGGTGCAGGGAGGCGCGCAGGGCCGCGGCAGCTGGGCGGTGGGCGGAAGGCGGGACCACACCGCGGGTCGGAGAAACAAAGCGGGGAGTGGCTGTCTCCGCGCCCGGCCGAGGGCCCCCCGCTGAGAGCCTGGTCTTCTGGCCTGGGAGGCATGGAAGACTTCGTGCAGAAAGGGGCGGCTCAGCTACCTGACCCAGCGAGACCCACAGCGTTCCACGTCTGCCCTCACTGCGGCCGACCCTGCCTGCAGCAAAGCCGGGGAGGACCCTGAAGTCAGGCCCGACCTACTTTACCTGGCTACAGCGCCCGGGAACTCAAGACTCTTCCTAGCCAAAGCCCATCCTGGAAGTTCAGCCTGGAAACCACCCTCTGTCCTGTCTCGGGGTCTCGGGCTCCCCTCTCACTCAGAAGCAGGGTCTTCTTGCCGACCTCCAGGAGGTGCGGGCTGTGACACCCCGCGGCCCTGTGCTCAGCAGCTGGCCCAGTAAGGGCCGGGATAGGTCTCCCTCTCTTTGGCTCCACTTCCCCTTGTCCCCATGTAAATCAGCCGACTCTGCTCTCCTTATTAAGTGCTGGAGCGGATTAGGAGGAAGTGAGTCTGATAAATGGATTAACAGGTCAGAAGTCAGGAGTTGGGAACAGCGTGCCCCAGGCGAGCCTGCAGACCTCAAGTCAAAGAGGGGAGCTTTTTGGGGGGTGAGTCCAAATGCCCGCTACACCCCTACACCCCCCAGGGCACTTCTGTCCGGTGCCTCTGCCTCTGCATGGGAGGGGAAAGGGGGGCTTCCAGAGCACACGAATCTGTGAGCTGCCCTTTCCAGCCTGCTTCCTCGTCTGTCACCCCAGAATCTTATCACCCCTATCACATCAGGGGATGTGAGCCCTCCCTCCCCTTTTCCCAGGGCACAGCCCCCATTTCCCTCTCCAGCACTCCCACTCTGGCCCCTTTCCTGCACCTGACATTAACTGAGCACAAACTACACGCTTATCTTGCGTAAACTCTGGAAATAATATTGACTTAGAGGTCTGACTGGTGGAGAGTTCTCCGCCTGTGCCAGGCCCTGGAACACAGGACCTGCGATATCAAAACCTTGCTGGCTGGTCCTGGATGCAGAAAGTCTCTCTCTTGGGGCTGCCACTCAAATGTGTTCACTTGGGTAAAGAAAGCACGAGGGTCTCAGTCTCCACACTCCCCGTCCCCGTGCTGGCGGAACAGGAGAGGAGGCTGTGCCCTCGTCCTTCAGAGTGGGGTGTGCCTTACTAAGGAGTGCAGAAACCCCACGCGCCACATTTGTCCATTTTCCAAAGCACCCAGAAGCCCACGTCTGTGTGAAGTCTACCAATTTTTAGGTGCCGACTTGATCTGTTTTTAACACGTGGGAGGAGACCAGCAAAATAGCTTTGGGGTCAGGACTGACCCCCAGGCCGCCCGGGTGTGGCCTGGGGGTCCTGGGCAGCCCTGGACCCAGACAGCCCGTGAGAACTTGGGTACACACTGGACTAAACTTGCCGCCCCGCGAGGGCAGGCACATTCTCTGCTGCTCACACGGTGCCAGTGAGATATCGGAACTCAGTCTTGCCCTAACTCAGCCAACAAATATTTATTCTCACTCACCTACCATATGCTAGGCAGGGAAGGTTGCAGGACGCAGGACAAACACAGAATAAGGAAGCGCGTAGTGAGCCCAGAGTGGACACCACTGGCAGGGTGGCCGGCCGGTGACAGGTGGGGGCTGGGGTCTGAGCGGGAGCTGAGGCCAGAGGTGGGAGCTGTGTGGGACCAGGGGCCACCTTTGGGGGGCAGGTGGGCCTGGGGATGGAGGCTGGGGGCCGGTTGGTCAATGGGGTTCAGTGTGGTGGGAAAGGGGGGCCCCAGGGGAAGGAGGACATATGGGGGAGGGGTGGCAGAGGGGGCTGGAGCTGTAGGGAGGAGGAAGCCTCGGCCCAGTCTGAGCAGGAGGGGAGGGTGGCTCCGGGGAGCAGCAGGACAGAGCAGCTTTGAAACAAATCTAGTTCTCCGAGAAGGCTCCCGGGAGCTGCGGTAGGGGTGACGGCTGGGCAGGCAGTGGGGTGTATGAGACGTGTGCAGAGAAGAGCCCTGTGGCAGGCGTTGGGGCCCCCAGGTCTCAGCCCCAGGGCTAGGCAGCGCCACCCAGGGCCTCAGTCTTTGCTTCTGTAAGCAGACTCCTGTCCGGCTGGGCTACGTGCAGCTGGCAAGCCGCCTCTGCCCAGAAGCCTGGCAGCTCCTGAACGTGGACTCGGCTTTCAAGCAGGCTGGTGGAGCCCAGGCACCAGGGCCCCCAGGCGCCTCCCAGTTACCCCAGACAGCTTGACACTGTGGGTGACACAGACCCCATCCACGGCCGGGTTCCTGCCCGCAGGCCTCCCAGCCCCCGGCGGGCACTGCCATGGGGTGAAGGGCCCCGGAGACAGAAGTGGGCAGGCAGGGGCGCGCCAGCGAGCCAGGGCGGCCGGCCCGTGGTGGCTGTGCCTGATGTGCGTCGTCCTCCCAGTGCGGGAGCTTCCCGCCTCGCACCCTGGAAGCTCCAGCTCGCCCAGCGCTTGGGCCGAAGCTGGCGCCACTCACTTCCTTCCCCCTCACCCCACAATCCACCCACAGCAAGTCCCATCTGCTCTCAGGTCACCGGCAATCTGCCCACACCTCTATCTCCACAGTTACCACCCAGTCAAATCTCACCTGGCCCAGGTGACCAGCTTCCCACCTGTGACCAGCCTCCTGTGCCCCCCTTCTGTGCCCGGAGCCAGCCGTTTCCCCCCAGTGCGCACCCCCAGGAGCCTCATCAACTGGAATAAAGTCCCCGAGGCCCGCAGAGCCCCCCGCCCCCCGCCCGGAACAGACTGCAGCCTCCAGCTAGCTCGGGCCTCCCTTCTGCGGGAGCCCTGTCCCAGCCTGAGGGGCTCTGGTCGCTCTGGCCCCACCACCGCCCCCTCCTCCGAGAAGCCTCTGACTGCCCCCTGTCCCCACTGTGCTGCTTGTGCTGCAGCATCTTTTACTCTCTCAAGTTGGGGCTCGCCTCCGTGGCTGGCCGGCTGGCCCCGAGTGTGAGTTCTGCGCGTGGGCCCCTTGCAGAGTATCACTTGAGTTATTTAGCTGTGACTCATATACCACAAAATGCACCTTTAAGTTATCCGATTCGATGGTTTCTGGTATCTTCACAGACAGGTACCCGCATCACTGCTCTTCACCCCAAAAGGAACCTCATACACACCAGCAGTCACTCCGGTTCCTGTCACCCAGAGCCTGCCCCGGCTGCACTTGCCTGTCGGCCATCGCCTTGGCAGCATCCTGCACCCCCAGCGCCTAGTGCTGTGAGGATCCCCCCTTACAGAGGCGGCAGTGGGCTGGGGCCCCTCGGGAAAATGACTTTCACTTTTGCAAGCCTTGTGTCTCCCAGGTGGCTGCCCCGGAGTGGGGGGAGACGGCCCCGGCAGGCAGAGAAGGGGTGAGGTGTGGGAGACCCTGCCAGCCCCCCTGGGCCCTCACAGCTGCCAGCTTGCTCGGAGAGCGCCGCTTGCCAGCAGGTTAGGGGAGTTTCTGCCCGAGCCCTCCATGCTCTCTGCCAGGCCCTGGCCAGGCGGGCAGCAGCCACACTGCCCAGCGGGGAGCAGGCGCTGGGGCCCATTCTAGGACCTGGACGCCCAAGGGGGCTGCGTGCAGAGGGGCGGGAGGAAGGTCTCAGGGCGGCGCGGGCTCTGGGTCTACTTGTAGGAGCTCGGGTCCCCCTCTCTGTGCTCGGGTACCCCAGGCGGCCGCGAGCTCCCTGAGCACGTGTGGTGTCCTCCCGGAACTATCGCGGGTTTCCTCCTTCCAGACCCGACCCGGCGCTCCAAGGAGCCGAGGCCCAGAAAGGCTGGCGGCTGTCAGAGGCCACGCAGGGGCCAGAGGCAGCGTCGGATTTCCTGAGCTGACTTTGAAGCCTGTGTCCTCAACTGTAAAAAGGGTTTAATAATCCTCCCTACGGCCGTGAGTGGTGAGGGCTGGCCATGCAGTTATCAGCAGCCTCTGGGCCTCAGACAGGGAGGCCAGACAGGCTCCTCGTCACCCCCAGTGGCCTTCCCTCCCCGGCTGCTCTCATCCTGGCCTCTTTCATCTCCAGTCTAATTAGCCGGGCGGCCCCACCCCACAGCCTCTTGGGCGGGAGTCATCACTCCCATTTTATGGATGGGGAAACTGAGGCACCTAGAGGGAAGTGGTTTGGAGCAGCCGCCTGTGAGTCAACTGTGGAGCCAGGGCCGGGGCAGCTGGTACTTGGCTTTCCAGTCGGGCTTGTCGCTCGAGTGAATCCCTCTCTGGCACCCCGGGCACCCTGGCACCCAGCTCTTCCAGCTTCCCCCCACACACACACTACCTCCCATGTGGAGGGACTGGTGGAGACTGGAGGAAGGAGAGAAACTATTTGGCAGCACTGGGGGCTCAGGCCGTTTCATCTTCAAAGTCGGCTAATTAGAGCCACAGTTGGGAGCCAGAGCTGGGGGCCAGGGTCTGGGCTGCGCACTTGGTGCCTTGGGAAACAGCGCTCAGGGGGCAGGGGCAGCCGCGGGGGCGGCAGGAGAGGCTGCCGGCTGAGCCCCTGAGTGGCCCCCGCCGCCCCCCCACGGCCTGCTTCTCTGGGAGTAGAGAGCTGGGCTCTGGCACCGCTGGGCTCCAGGGCTCTGGCGGCGAGGCCTCGGTTTCCCCGTCCGCGCAAGACGGGCGCCGGCCCTGCGAGTCAGCACGTCTGCAGCCCGTTGTTTTCAGGCGGCAACATCATGGCTTGTGCCTCGCCCGCCGGCTTTACCCGGCCCGCCGCACGGCCTCCGGCAAAGGTCACCAGCTTCCGCCCGTCGCGACCCGGGCGCCGGCTCCGCGCCCCCAAGCCGAGCGGGTCCCCCCCCCACGGCCAGCGTCGGAGAAGCCAAGCCAAGCCCTGCGGGGCCCGCCGGACCGGTTCAGCCGGGGCCGAGGCGCGCACTTCCTGCGGGCGCCCTGGGACCGCACCTTGTACACCCCCAGCGGCCACCTGGGCCCCGCAGTCC